TGAGGGGAGGGGGGTTTGGGGGGGGGGGGCACTCATAGTCGTGCATGCCGTAGTCGTTAGACCATTGACCTCGCATCCCTACAAAGCCGGGACGGAGCACGCCGGGTTCTCACCGGACCAGGCTCTCACATCACCAAGCGCGAACCGCCGTGAGGTATTCGGCGAGTCGCATGAAGGGTGCGCTGCATCCTGCTAAGGGTGTTCGGCATCTTGTGCTTGCTTCCTTGCGTACGGATGACAGCTGCGTATGACTTAATGCATTATATGGTGCTTTCACTTCCAGAGACAGTTACAAGCATTATGTAACTGCCTCGAGGATGCTTGACCATTTTAACACAACGTGGTGCGATCATCCATCCCCCTTGCGCGGAGTGAGGGTTCTCGACCCCGCACAACATGATCTACTCGACCACCATTCATGGTTACCGCAAAAAAAAACAGAAGTAAAAATAAAACCGGTAACCTGGTTGCCGAGTTCACGAAGTGAATTGGCTTGTTTTACAACGTTGTTGCCAAGCGACGAAAACCCAATTCCGATGGCAAACACCGGGGGGGAGGTGCCGGGGGGGGGGAGGGGGGGGGGCATGAAACCCCGCCTTCTGCGTGCTCCCCGACCCGCGTGCGTATTTTGATGCGTGTCCGCCCTTTCGAGCCAACCCCGTCTTGTTTCCCCGCACCTCTCCTCCCGAAGCCTCAGACACGCATACGTGCTTAAAACAATCCCCTTGAGCCAACCAACTCGGACCCTCGCAACAACTACTGTCAACTGTCCTCAGAAACGTGGAGACCACTCGTGCATCAGGCTACCGGCAACGACTGAGGTGTTTTGCATCGGCGGTTTCACGGAGGAGAACTGGGAATACACGATTTTGAGCAGCGTTGAACGCTTCGATATGGAGACGGAGCAGTGGGAATCCAAGGCTTCCATGGTCATCCCTCGCGCGGACTTCGGGGCTGGGTGAGTTAGGACGGGACACGGCACGAATACCGTGGGAAATACCGCGAAAACTGGTATCAACGATACAAGGGCTGTGTAGACGGGGAAACGGTAGGCACACGCACACAGCCACACCAGTGGTATGGGCAATGGCTTCTCTGGAGAGGGTGAGATGGGATAGCTAGCGGCAGACAGCGCGTAGCATCACACACACACACGCTGGAACGCAGCGAGGAAAGAGAAGCGTTCGACGAGATAACATTTTTTTGTTGTCATGGAGTTCCATCCTAAAGCCATGGATTCGTCAAGCCGTACTGCCAACTTCGCGGCCCGACGTGCTTGCTTGGGTTATTGTGTACTCTCAAAACACCACATGAACCAAGCGATTTCAACGCTCTCCTCACTGCTATCAACAGGGGCCGCAGGCAGCAGCGTCGAAAATACGAGACAGATCGTTTCCGAGCGCGACTCTTTTCGCAGAGAGACAAGAGCATTGGATATGCTCCTTTTCGTTAGCTCTCTCCTGGAAGGAGACCTAGTTTGTGGTAGATGGTCTTGACCCTCTACCGGGGGCTCTCGCAGTTGTCTCTTCGTTGAGATTTGGCAAGCACAAGAAGGTCTCGGAAGAGAGAGATACAGAGAAAAGAGAATGATACCCAAGGGGAGAGGAGAGGGAAGCGAGGTCCCGCATTCATTCCCCGTCTCCGCAGGTACCGATGAAAAGTCCGTACAATCCATGGTCATTTTTTTTGCTGTTCAACCATCGGCAAGATACTCAGCTCGTATCGTATGTGTCCTACTCTTTCGTATAAGCAGCAAATGGTTGTAACACCTGTCCTCGACATCCCGCCGTTCGCTCTTCGCGGCCGCTGTCTTGCACCGCGCGTTGGTTTCGCATGGACGCCGTTCACGCTCGCCACGACGGCCTCTCGTTTGGAACGTGCCTGCTGCTCCTGGTGGGATCGTCTTTACCTAACTATGTGCTGCTGTGCTGCTACCAACCAGCCTGGTCAACGGCCGCATCACGGTCGTGGGAGGAGAGAATGATGAGCGCCAGCCCATGGACGACGTTGAGGTACGGCGACGTCTGTTGTGTACCGTCCGTAGTGCGTCTGTGACGATGCCTAGCTAACTATAGATGTTCCCGTCCGTGTAGCACGATAAACAGCACTATTTAGTGATGGTAGCCGGTGTTCCGGTAGACTTGCTACTTGCTGTACTTGTTCATGGGGTCGCAATCAGCTCGGTACCTCTGGAAGTGGTATTGATTTTTCAGCAAAGTTACTGTGCTGTCGTGGACGATACAGGCCTCAGAAAGGTTGAGGTTTGCGAGGACAGGACAGCCGTGGCAAGTTCAGTACTGAAATAGAAAACAATAAATGTCATCTACGGCAGTTTGTTCGCCTCCAGCGCCTCAATCTTCCCAACAACGCCGAAGAGACCAGCGCATGAATCGTGTTGACGTGGCTGTTGTTGTTGTCATCGTTGTTGTTGGTGTCAGTAAGGGTGGTAGTTGTTATTGGTGGCGGGTGGGGTTGTTCTTGCTATTCGAGCGAAGCGAGATTTCTAATCTTGCCTGAGGAGACAGCGCAGTATGAGCTCCATCCAGAAAAAAGAGTCTGTACAGTCATTTCGCTTAATCTAGGTTTTAGAGTACATGACTTGATTTTAGAGTACAGGGGTCAGCAGATGCACTTTTTTTTTTTTCGGAGCACACAGCGGATTGCAGCAGAGAACACACGCACTGCGGGCGACACCACACAGCAGAAAACACACGCACAGCAGACAGCGTACGCATAACAGGCGACACACACGCACAGCGGGCGACAGCATCTGGGCTCGATGCCGCTGGACTCTCTGTGGTGTGATGAGGCTATCGTGTATTGCTGTCGCGCATGTTTTTTTTTTTTCCGCCGCGTTCAACTATTTGTACCAGCAATGTGAGCACAGCACCACATTATAATTCTCGAAACCTAGGACGCCGATCGCCATCGCACCACTTCGAGCGTGTGCTCCATTGTGGTGTCTCTGGGCGTGATAGTTGTGTTGGGCATGGGTGCTGTATGTGGCGAGAGCATCGTGGCGATGTGAAATCCGGTTTGGCTTTTTCGCCTGGCGATGCGGCCCGATTGCCCGGGCCAAAAAAAACGATTTGGATTCCACGCCGCCACGAAGGTCTTCCCACACACAGCACCCATGCCTAACACAACTGTCACGCCCCGAGATATCGGAATGGAACACACGCTCGAAGTGGTGCCATGACGATTGGTGCGCTAGGTGACGAGCACTGACTTGTGTCCTGCTGTTTCGCTGGCAGTTGGAAAACACCGAACAAAAAAAGAGGGAACAGGGGGTTCGGCACTAGTATGCGTGTTTCACTTCAAATCAGCGCTCACAGCACTAGTGCCGTTTACTCCAACCCGTGGTCACACTAAAGAGCCCCTCTCTACCCTCCCCTCCTGCGGTGCTTTGCCTTCGATTTTCGATGCGAGAAGAGTTCAGCACTCTCTTCCCTCTGTGTACACACGAACTAGCGCCATCCACTATTTAGGCCAGAAGCGGAAGCGAGAGAAAAACTCACTTTGCAAGAAAAGCTCGCTTACGCCGGGATTCGAACCCCTGACCTGACCTCTAGAAGGTTTCGAGGATACCAACAAGACCACCGGGTATGTATGACCACGAAAGCGGGATGTGGACGGGGGGGGGGGGGGGGGGGGGGG